AGTCCCCCTGAGTTTTGGGGAACTGGGAATATTGTGCTGGGGGAGCGGGGGGAAGTCCATGCAAAATGATAGCTGGTAACTGCAGGGACATTTGAACTAGTACTAGGCTTGTTTAGTTTAGGATCGAAATGTTGGCAGATGCTTAACCACAAACTTGCTTTGGCAACAAATTGGTGTATGTGATGATAGTTAATATACTGCCCTATAGGATAAGGACACCCCAACATTATTGGGGTGAGGAAGTCAGATACGGACAAGGGAGGCTGGGTATTTGTATGAATATTCATGACAGCCCTTAGGCCCTACAATAGACCAGACCACATGTATGTAAGGTGAGATTTGGACCATCAGACTTGTTTGACATGCCAGGGACAGAGTAAGACCCTTGTAGGCAACCACCTGTCTCTTACCACCAGATCCCAAGAAAGGGTGTGAGTCTCTGTGACGTATGATACATGATACCTTAACTCTATAGTGTTGCTCTTTTTATTTGTGTCTTCACTTATTGTGCTAATAAAAGTGCATAAAGTTTTGCTTTGCCTTTGGCGTGAGTGCCTTCCTTGTGCACATCAGGGTTCCCAACCAGACACTGAAGTGCATAACCTTGATTCTCTTGTGCCTGATTCTGAAACTAGAACCCTACAGTTCCCAGCTCTTTATAATTGATTTTCAATTAATTACTAATTAATCAATAACCACTAAAGAATCAGGTAACATTAATTTTTTAAACTTGTTTCATCTAGTGCTCGTGGAAGGTGCTGGATTGACAGCCCGGGATGCAAATCTACTGGTTTTTGATAGGACACTGCACAGGTGGCCGTGCAAGCTTTCCCATGCTGCCGCCTGCTAGGCCTCCACCCTGTCTCAGGAAGGGCCATCCTCAGTAGTGAGGAGAGCAGCTCACTCTCATTTCCTATCCACTCCTTGGTAGCTGTGCTAGGACTGTCAATAAGGATGCCAATTGTGGTGGTGGTTGTGAGGTGCACACCTGTACTCTGGGCACTGGACTGAGACTACTGCTCCATTCACGTAGGCCACTAACCAGCCACACAGTAGTAATGGCCTTCATTTGCTAAAGATATGTTCTGAAGTTGAACACTGTGGCCTAGAAGAGAGGAGCTGTGTATCCCACTGAATGATCATTAATATCACATCACATAGTCATTCTCCAGTTGCTAGATCAAGTCAAATTGTGTCCCCCTACATCGTACTAGATATGTATTTTACTGCCTTTGTGCAAATATTTCAGTAACTTTAATTTCTCTGCAACATTGTCCAGCTGCTATGACTCATGATGATTTTATATCTTCCATAGAACACTTGACCTGAAGAGTTCAGAGGGAGCCAGTCATGCAAATTAACTCGAACTTCCTCACTGTATTCTCTAGCATATTCTTTTATCTCAGACATGTTAAAGGTGAAAATGAAACCCAAGGTCCATTGTTGCCTTGGACGTGTAAGCTTATGTTTTAGAGCCCACCCAAAGGCTGTGATTATCAGAGCGAGGTACGCCTGGTAAATCCTGTCTCTTCTCCTGGATGCTAGTGTACCTTCTACCAGTGTCGAATGCTGTGTGTTGTCATGGTTTGTTTTCAGCTTTGATGACCATGACCCGGCAGTGATCCATGAGAATGCATCCCAGCCAGAGGTTCTGGTTCCAATCCGATTGGACATGGAAATCGATGGGCAGAAACTCAGAGATGCTTTTACGTGGAACATGAATGGTATGTAGGCAGCCAAGTCTTGTCTAAGGAGCTTGGAGAGATTCAGTTGCATCCATACAATAGCATAATTTATTTATTTGTTTATTTTTGAGAGAGATCCACCCATCCCCTGCCACACACTGGCAAAGCTGTCAAGGCCTCACATTTCACTGGGATTCCATTTGTCATGTCTCATCCTGTATCATGTGTCCTTCCTGCTGGTTGCAGTGAGCTCTAGGGATGTATGTATAATTTGAGGCCATCTTTTGTAATTGGCCTGTTCTCCACACCTGATTCAGCGATGCCACGGTCCAGTCTCTGATCTCATGTGGTATTCAGATGAGATACAAATATAAAAGCACAGAAAGCCTGTATCTCCATAATCTCATTCACCTGTGTATTGTATTAAATTGCAGCTATATTGTTTCCATAGGAACAAATAGTAAATGTTGTCCATTCCTTAAGTCAAACTTTGTAGATTTTTATGTCCTTACAAACCAGAGTCTAAAAACTTCCTTTGACTCTTTCTAGTAAGAGGTTAGATAAGATTTCCCTCTGTATGGTAGGTTACAGCAGAGGCCTAATGCCTTGTAATCAGTTAGTGAGAGGAAGATTCTAATTGCTGTAAGCCCTGACTGAATTAACTGGGAATACTGGCTTGTTCTAATTAAATTGGTTTTCCTTTCTTCACCTCCATCAGAAAAGCTAATGACCCCAGAAATGTTCTCGGAGATTCTCTGTGATGACCTGGATTTGAATCCTCTGACCTTTGTCCCTGCCATTGCCTCTGCAATTCGACAACAGATTGAGTCTTATCCAACTGACAGTATCCTAGAGGACCAATCAGATCAACGAGTTATTATTAAGGTAATAAAGAAGGAAGGCATGACCTCGGTTAACTTACTTTGTAGAAGGCTGTTTGGGGAAGGAAAAGCATGTGGGCTCCTCAAGCTAGGAGTTCCTGGCTCCCAGTCCTGTGTCTAGATCGCATCTCTGTCCTCCGTGTTGAGGCCCTGGTGGCAGACTATTGCACACTGCTGTCCTGTGCCAGGAATTGAGATGACGATGATGTAATAGGAGTTCCGTGGGGGAAGGAACAGTGTCACATTTTGGGGAGGAGCGCTGGAAGTCCTCACACATTTGGGTTTCCTAGCACTAATGGCAGTATAGAACCCAAATACAGTAGTTCTAGAAATGCATGGAATTGGTTCAGCCTTTTATCTTCTTTGCCCCTGAACTTTAGGTTCCGCATTAAATAAGCATGACCATGACAAGGTAATGCAAGAGATTGGTATGCGTAAGAGCATTTGAGATGCAAATAAATCTGACTTGTGTTTATGGCATTGTGTCCAGCTAAATATCCACGTGGGGAACATTTCCCTGGTAGATCAGTTTGAATGGGACATGTCGGAGAAGGAGAACTCTCCGGAGAAGTTTGCACTGAAGCTGTGTTCAGAGCTTGGGCTCGGTGGGGAATTTGTCACCACCATCGCTTACAGCATTCGGGGACAGCTGAGCTGGCATCAGAAGACTTATGCCTTCAGGTACAGAACACTGTAGTCTTATCTGTTAAATAGCTGCCTCCTTGTGGAAGAGATTCTCTGGGAGACAATCCTGCTGATGTACCACACTCTGGTTCCTACTCTGCTCTTCTTAAGGATGCTTGCATGGAAACAAGGTTTTGGCTTCTTGAGCTCATGTGGTCCTTCTGTCACCTGAAGCCCTCCTCACTTTGACATAAGTTAGTTGCTGTGGAGAGGTTTATCAGAGGAGGAAGAAGCAAATGAACTCCTAAGCAGTGAAGATATTCCTTTCATGTAAATGTCTTAGTAACACAAATCAAAGGAATTCCCAAAAGCCAATATTATGTAAAGGCCATTTCCTGCGTGGTGGTGGCAGCTCCTTTATGGTCCCCTGTTGGGAACCCTGCAGAGACTCTTCCCTCTTTCCCACTTTCTTGTGTGGTTCACAGGCTGCGTTGCTGGGTGGCTGGGAGGGCAAGGTGTAAATGTGCTGAGGCTGTTTGGGAGAGGTGCTATTTCAATGCCGTCCTCACTGATGTAAGCTAATTTCAGAATTGGTGCCTGCATTGGGGAAATGGAACATAGCCTCACTTGGATGTAACATGCAGGCTGACTCTGGAGAGCATGGAGTTTAGCTTTACTGGGGCTGGGAATGGGACCAGTGCAAACACCACAAACTCTAGGGAAGCCTGGCTCTGCATGCTGCCCCTCAGGCCTGTGTCTCATTCATACCCTGAGGCTCTTGGTAGTTGGCTAACTTGAGGAATCTGCTTCACCCATTCAAAACATCAAGTATCTTTTGGTTTAAAATAGAGCCAAAAGACTAGAAATGGCTGCTTCATTCCCTAAGTGCCGTTTGCGTTGAGACGCTGGGGGTGTTACGTACAGTTTGTAACTGTTCCAGGCAATACTATTCTGTGATACTGAAATATCAGCTCTTACCACATTACAGCCTTTTGTTATAGCTAATGGGTAACAGCTATTGTTTCATCTTCTTCATACAGAAAATATGTACCCTTTAATCATGTTCTCCTTTCATAACATACATACTGATACCGTTTTCGAGAGGCCTCCAAGCCATTTGTGTTCCCTGTATCACATTGACTCGTGAACCGGTCTTAAGTATTTTCAAAGCTTAATGTTGATTTAAACAGTAACTGTAATGCCCTGCACTGGCCAGAATAAAAACTGGTGTGATTCCAGACCTGCGTTTTGTAGCTGGGTTGCAGCATGTACAGGATTTACTTATCACCAGGAGACAGGTTATGCATTCTGACAGTAATAGGTTCCAGTTGTATTATGTAGTGGTCTGTGGTGAATTAGTATATGGATGGTTTTTATCCTTAATGTATTTCATTATAATATATTACAAGTGTGCAAGTTGGGAATATGCATTAATGAGCTGGTCTCTGGGCTGGCCTGGCAGACTAAACTCTGTGCATTGTGATACTTTGTGAAGGTGAGATGATTTGCGGGGCCAGCAGTGGCTGGGGGAAAGGACATGCCTTGCTTTGGCTTTTAGTAATTCCCTGTGGCCATTTCAGGCCATCACAATGGTACACCCCAGTGGTTCGAAGAGAACCGCATCCAACCCTTTATTGGAGGGTCGGGCAATGCTTACAGGTCGATCTGGGCTGGGGGAGGGAGCATAGAAGCAGAAAACAGGAGACAGAGTTATGGTAGAAGTAGGAGGCTAGTCCATAGAATTACTCTGCTGGCACTTAGATTGCGAGTCTGACCTGTTTATTGTATAAGAGGCAATCCTGAGAGTGTGTAGGATTATTATAGTTCACATTGTGGTTTAATAAATTGCTGTAGTCAGGAGTTAGCAGTCAGCTTTCATTATTTTAGAAGAGCCCCAGCCAGTTAGTACTCTTGGCACCATGAGCATATGTCTGTATCATTGTAACCTTCTGTCCTTTGCTCTGCCTTTCTCCACGGTCTTTGTATATTCACGACTGTCCACAACCAGCATCGTGGCAGCCTCCTTTGGAAATGGAGCACCGGAGTGCTGTAGGCCAGCTGCTTTTTACTCCTCATCTGCCCCTTGGCACTTCTCAGTTCGCTTTCCTTCAAGAATATACCCCAGTGGGGTCCCCAGAAACAGTGTAATTCCAAAATTATTGCCAAAGCAATGTTTGTAAGAGACTCAGTGTAAACCAAAGGTAAACATAAAATCCTCTCTGCTTAAGTGTGGAAAACTGCCTCTCTGGAGAGGAGTTTGTAGTTATGGATTTAAGCAAGAGTACAGTCTCATTGTTAGAGCTTGTGTGCTTGTCCTGCTGCCGGCGTTTCCGCTCTGTTAGCATCTCAGGGCATGACTTATACCTTCCTTTGTCAGTGAAAGCTGATGTGGCTGGGGACCAAACCATTTTTGGCACCATTGCCAAAAGTGCTTTTAGTCTTGTCCACACTAGAAAAGCTGAAATATGGACCGGAATCTAGTGTCTTTCCCACTGTCTTCTAACCCCCTCTCAGTAGAGTTGTATGACATAATGGAAAAAATGCCCTAGGCATGTCTACACTACAGCCTCCACCAACGCAGAGTCACAGGTGTGTTCCTAACTGTAGGTGCAGTCCCTGAGACTGGGTGGAAGTGCGTCTCAAGCTCTCTGCAGTGGTGCTGGGAATAGTTTTATCCTGGCCACACTGGGGAGTAAACTCTTCGAAAGCAACCAGGGTAGGGGGACCGTTTGCTGGTTTAGCAATATGTGCTGGCGAGCACAGCTGGGAGTTCAAGCTTTCTTCTCTGTATCTCCCTCCTGGCTTATACTTGTGACAGTCCTTGAAGTAAAGAGGAGAGCCCTCTCGTCACTGTTGGACAGAAGTCCTCTTTTGGATTAACCCAAACGCTACTGCTTCATTTCTTACGAGTAAGTTTAAATTGCCTTCTGCCCACCCCATTACAGTGTATCCCATATCCAGTGGAGACTAGCATTCCCAGATGGTCACTCTTCCTAGTTCTTGTCCCTTAGTGCTTCAGAGGGGCCCTATGAACCTGCATAGATACCAAAAGGCTTTTCTAATATACCTGTGTTTTCCCCATTTATCACAGGTGACCTGGTTAGGATGGAGGCTATTTGCAGGTAGATAGTTAGGTTTTTTCCCTCAGGAGGTTGCTTGCCTGATATGAAAATGTACCTCCCTTCTAGTCATTTTAGCTTAAACAAATGCTGTTCTCTCAGACAGTGCTTAGTTTGCCACGGATGCTCTGATATAATACCAGCCTGTGGTCCCAAGACGTGACGTCACACCCTGGCTTGTTAAAGCCAGTTTACCAAGGACTTCTGCATGGCCCTGATTATTAAGGAGAGTTTGCACATAGAGGATGATTGCAATAGGTAGACTTCAAACCTCCTGTCAAAGATAAAGGAACCTTATTGCAAACAATGAAATCAAAGTGCTGGCTGCTGGTAGGAGAGGAATGTGGGAAAGGAGGCCCCAGCAGAACAAAGTAATCATCAATACTTAGACATCATCTCTTGTTTAAAAAAACACTAATTAAAACCTTGTTTTGTTTCTCTTAGTACAAATGTCCTCTTCCTTCTGCTTCTCCTCCGGCAGAGGAGTGGCTTTGAAACCTTCTTGTGATTAATGATATTTGGGTTCTGTGGTTGGTTAGTTCCTGAATTCCCAAACCACAGTAGTGGTGCTTGCTGAAGAGAGACATTCCAGTGATGTAGGAGAAGGGTCTGCTGTAGCAGTATCAAAAGAACAGCCTTAATATCTCCAGGGACTGCCAAGAGTCTGAGGAGTCACGCAGATCTTAATCATCTGAGGGAGAGCTGAAACCATGTAATTCGGTGGGATTCTGCTTTTGCTGGTCAGCACTGTCAGTGCAAAACAAGGAGAGAGCCAAGAAACATGATATAGCAGTACAGGGCTGAGAGCCACTAGATAGAACTATTTCTATAGTAAGGTATATGAAAATATTTTTAAGAGGCTGAAATAGGACCCAACAAGTTCTCCTTTCCCCTTGACTTATTCAGTATATAGTGACCCTATACAAACAAGCTCCCTGGCCCAAAGAGCTTCCATCTGAATATCTAACGGAAGGAGCTGATTTTACCAGACACCAAACACTCCATGCCTTAGGGTCATCCTTTTGTCCAGTAGAAAGTGTCACCCTGCACAGCTGGCTGTATGGACCCTGCCACATGTGAATGTTACCTTGGCCTGTCACTTGAGGGTTGGACCGGGGCATGGGGAAGGTCAAAACTTCCTCTCACTCCACTAAAAATTATGCAGCTGATGGTGCATTACACAGGGCCTCCTACACTGGGAGTATCCCCTCTGCCACTCCTCCAGCCTGGCAGCAGCAAGCATTGTGCCCTTGAGAAGTTGAGGTGTTGTCACAAGAGTGTAGATTCCCTTCCTCTCTCTGACTCCTGCCGGTCCATGGAAATGTGGGATCCAGTTTAAGATTGTGCTGAAATTATGCTCTTAGGCCCAGTCTTGCAGCCCCATTGAAGTCTGTTGACTTGTGCGGGTGTGAGCCGGAATCAGGCCCTCAAATTCTCCTCTCACTTGGTAGCACAAATGTATTTCAGGAAACTTCATCTAACCAGCCCCAAAGGGGTAAGTGTGCGAGAAAAACAAGAGCAGTTTAAACATCTAGTTGAATACACAGCTAAGATTTAGCAGGTGGCCTTGGAACACACAGCAATGCTCGCAGGCTGGGCTGAGGTATGTGTTCTTGGTGAGTGGCTAAAATGGGCATCAAATATACCAGAAGTAGATTCAAGTGAGGCATCCTCCCAGGAGGCCTTGGATTAATATCTTATTGGAGGGTTAGCTAAAGGTTTGCCATTCTCGATCAACAGCTTTGCTGCAGACAACCCATTTCCATGGTGATCAGCAGTTGAATTATGTCCTGTGAATCAGAGAGCTAGGATTAGCTGCATGTAAGTGACAGGATCCTACCCTGTGTGGTGGTGTCTCTGTGGGAGGGGTCAGACATGGCCGTGTGCACCTGTGATGGACAGAGACACACACACACACACACACACACTTTTTCAAAATTTGAACCAAATATTTACATTGAGACTTGCCTGTAGCTTCACTGCATTTCCAGCTCCTCAGTATTTAAGAAGCCACTCACATAAGCACAAGGGGCCGTACCAGTTAATTCTTAAAGGGATAGTGAAGTGAAGACCCCTTTGTAAGCATGTGATGGTGTAGCTGTTCATAGCAGACTAGTTTTTTAACTTGCACTAGCAGACTAAACTCTTTGGGTCAGGGACTGTCACTTATTCTGTACATTTGTAGAATACCTAGTGCAACGGAACCCAATCCATGACTAGGGTCTCTAGATTCAATTGCAATAATGTGTTGCTCTTCAGTGGAAGATTGGGAGAGTTTATTGTTGTCACCAGGTCTTACGAACCTAAGGAGTTGCCAAAGGCTGTGAAGAAAGAGCATTTGTACTAGGCAACTCAGAATTACAGTACCCCACTTGCAGTTTGCATAGCCTGAGGCCTTGTCTACACTATGGGACTAACTTGACCTGAGTTACGCTATAACTTAGGTCAACTTACTGCGGTGTCTACACTGTGCTGTGTCGACCGGAGACGTTCTCTGGTCGACTTACCTTACTCTTCTTGTTCCGGTGGGCTACCGGAGTCAACCAGAGAGCACTCTGCAGTTAATTCAGTGGGTCTTCACTAGACCCACGAAATCGACCCCTGATGCATTGATCACAGCAGCCTTGATCCCTGGTAAGTGTAGACATGGCCTCAGAAATGCTGGCAGGAACCTCAGGAAGCCACATTTCTGAGCAGGCAGGGTACTCTCCCAGTTCATGAATGTCCCCTTGGATATGACAAAGCTTTCAGCATTCATAAACTGGTATGATCTTTTCCTTAGTCTGTGATCACTCAGCCTGAATGTCGTATGTCCATTAGCCAGTTACATAGTGAGCCTTCAGAGAGGGGAAATCTACTGAGACTGTGGTTAGCATTCAAAACCTGCATGGCTCTTTAAACTGCAGTCTTCCTGTTGTTATTAATATTGGTCATATGCCTCCTGACGGCCAAAACTTTCTAAAATAAGGAGGACTTGTTCAGCGTTTGCTTTGATGAATCCCCTTACACTGATGCGTACAAGAGACGATGGCTATGAAATAGTTAGATTCATGGCAATTCCAGGCTCCAGGAACTGTAGCTTGTCTGTCTACTGGGCAGGAACCAGACTGTACCAAGCAGCTGTAAGAATGAGTGCCCAGCCAGAGTGGAGAACCATTGAGTACCCCTCCCATCTCAGCTCTGGGGCAGTGCCCAAGGGGAGCAAAAGGTCTGTGTGTCTTGGCTGTTGCAATTCAGATTTGGCTGAATTTTGTTTTTTGTCTTGACCTGGTGCTTTAGTGAGAACCCTCTGCCAACTGTAGAGATCGCCATTCGCAACACAGGTGATGCTGACCAGTGGTGCCCTCTGCTCGAAACCCTGACGGACGCGGAGATGGAGAAGAAGATCCGAGACCAAGACAGAAACACAAGGTGCTGCCCGTTCATACAGTTTTCATTCTGGCCCCTCTCTAGGATAGAATTTTTAAAAGCTTTGATGTTTTATTTTTCTCTGCTGAGAGCCAGCTGGCAGGATTTCAGATCAATACACCAGAAAGAGGATTTCTCTCTCCTTTTGCTTCAGGATATTAAACTGTTATCACATCACTCTGCAAGTGTCTTAACATTTTCATTTTGACCATCTCCTGCTCAAAGCTCGCTCCTCTCTAGTGCAGTAATATCTGGGGTCTCGAAGAGTCTTAAGACTAAATGCCACATGCTGCCTAGCATCCTGACAAAGCTTCCCTTTTATGCGTGGAGACGCACTGTTTGAAGTAGGAGTGACGTTCCAAACCCCAGCCTGGTTAACTGCACTTCTGCCTATTGGCTGGCACAGGTAGGAACACTATTGTGATTACAAGAGCAGCTTTTACCCCTGTAGGGGGAGACCTACAAAGCAGCACTGCGGGGTCAGCTTAAGCTGTTCAAACCTGTATGGATGTGAAGTGAAATCTGCCTGGTTTATCTCCCCAAGATACTGTAGATAATAAAACTGAGAGATTCTAGTGGTTCAAGCAACAGCCATGGATTGCTCAAAACTATGGAGTCCCTGCCATTGGTATCTGATAAACAAACCGTCTCCCAGTTATTTAATACTCAATTTGATAAGACTGTGACATTCTGATACTCAGGAGCTGTAAGCTCTTGCAGTAAAGCTGAACTGTCAATGGCTGATGGATGTTGAAACACAATTCAGGCTGAAAGAACACATGGAAATGAGTAGCCAGGTTTCTCAGCAATGGCAGAAATGCCATACAGTCTTCAGGAGCTGGGCAGATAACAATGTGGTTCAAGTCATTAGTACAACCAGGCTAGGGTGTTAACTAGCAAGTAAGTTTGTCTAGCAGCCCCTATGACTGTGCAGTAACTTGCCCTTTAGCATCTGGGAGGGCTGTGTGCTGCCATTGCAGGCAGATCTACTAAAGCATAATTTCCCAATCACTTACTGTGCCTTTTTCTCCCTCACTTCCTACAGGCGCATGAGACGTTTGGCCAACACTGCTCCAGCCTGGTAACCCTCCCTGATATGACAGTGGTGTTCACCCTACGGACTCTGTCTCCACTCCTCTCCCCCAAAAGGACCTAGGAGATTGGCAGGGGTTTGTCTTGAATCTTTTTGGCCCAGAATGAGGACATACATTCCACTTGCCAAGCAGTTCAGGGTACTGCTGACTCCCACCCCTGCCCCCACCTTAATGCCATGGGCCTAGAACGTTGCATTAGCACGTTATCCATCCGAGACCTGTGGCAGCTGTCAGAGCCCTCATGTACCTGTGTGTGGACTGAGTAAAGATTTTTTTTTTTTTTGGTATACGTGCAAGTTGCACTGTTAAGACAACTTTTAAAATAAAAGGAATGCATAATGGTTGGTTTGAATCAGTAACTTATATGCATGGGAGTCTAGCTCCCATTGTTTGGGCTCCTGACAATTGAGCCTTCCGATGGCCTAATGCTGGAGTTGTTGGAGCTTCATGGGTTGTTTCCAGCCCTTCTTTTCTCCCCAGGTCAACAAGAGCTGGATGTTCACAGCTGGTAGGGAGTCCTGTCCTCTAGCTGCTCATTTGGAATAGATCTAATAAGCTTCAAAGGGAATCCTGCCCAGGCCTTGTCTTTTACCAGAGGACTGGGCTTTGTGACTCACTGGGGTGGGAATGGTGAAGATCATGAGAACTACACAGAGTGAATGCTGACGCTGTCTGGATCATGAAGGAGCTGTTTGTTTAGTGCACTCAGGGTGATTAGATCTAGCTTTGTGTCTGTAATTATGTCTCAGTGAATGGACCATGGCTGGTTAGCTTGGCGAGCATGGTATAGTCCATGGCTTCAGGTAGGCTTTGAAGTTCATCTCTGTCTAGTGTCAGAGCGTGTTGGTTGGAAGCCAAAGTTGGGGAGAATACCTCAACTCCCAGAACTGGTGGTAAGACTACAGACTTTCTGCTGAAATTGCATCTTTCCTTCAGTAAAAAGCCACCACTGTGCATGATCATGTGCAGTCAGTCCCTCCCTTGCAGCTAATGAATTAACTAAGCTCTCACCAGGAATAAAGCTGTATTTGCACGTGCCATTAACACTTTGGGGCTGGGATTCTGTAAAGCTGGTGAGAATGCAGAGACCTGCCCTTTCCCAGGAGGAGTTTAATTTGGCTGTTTTAAACAAGATACACATGGTCAGCTTTTTATTTTATTTTTTTAAATAGAATCAAAGCCAAGCTGCTGGCTTGTTGGCTGTTTTGCTTGAGCTTGCACTCCTCCTCCTCCTCCTCCTCCAGGGAAACCAAGAGACAATGTTGCAAGCAGCACAGATTACATTGACAATCTGACACTGGTGTGCTTAAAGGAGGCTGTAAAACCTATTCCAGCATAATCAACCCACGCTTCTAGCTTTGTCAGAAATCTCCTTTTAGCATGAAAATTATCATGCTTTGTCTTGCACATTGGCAACCCCAGTTCATAGAAACCTGTTTGCTTTCAAACAGCTGAGTCTGGGAGGAGGGAAGAATAAAAATTCAGAGTTTGCAGAAGCCATGAACTTGCAAACTCAGCAGCTTTATCACTGCAGCCTTAACCCTTACACTGATCAACTGCTAGTCTTTGCCTCTTACCTTTCATCAACAGGTTATTCCAACATGGGGGGAGTCCCACAGCCAAAAGCTGCATTTATACACAGCTAAGCATAGAATGTAAATGATGAGTAAATCTCCCTGTCTCCCCTGCCTTTGAATGGAGCTTGATTACAATGGATTTTTCGTTTGGTGGGTACTAAGACTATGCCTACTTTGTGGTAAGGAGGCTTCAGCCTCTCCTCTGGGAGCAGCACTTGACACAAACTGCAGAGAATTAAGTGAAGGGCTGAGCTTCCTGAGCCTTAAGGCTCCTGCACCATTTTGCTTCTGCTAACTTGATACTCGTTACTGTTTGAGTCTAGTGGCTCTGGTTGCAAAGCTTGCAAAGCACTATGACACAAGCCAGCCCCACAAAGGTGGCTGCATAATGCAAAACTTTGTTTTGAAATACTTAGGCCTGGTCCAGACACACACACTATTCAGCTTTAAGTGGTTCAACTTGGTGTAGATCCAAAACTGTTCAGCTTTCAGATGTAATTCACAGGCACTTGCATGGGTATAATACAGTGGGCTTTTAAACCAGTGCAACTTGGTGGCTGTAGATAAGGCCTAAAAGTTATTGCTGGGCTGTGCAGGGGCAAACCTTGTCACTATTAAATTCAGTAATTTAACATGAGCCACTGTACCATGATTAGAGGAGACTGGAAAACTTTCAGCTCTGAGCAGCTGTTCAAGTGTTTTACATTAAGAGGGCCTTGCTGCTGTCTTTCAATATTCTGCATCTCCTTCAGCCTGTCTGGCACCTGCACTGCTTGTTTCCTTTCCCTGCAGCACTTAAGCTCCCATCTGTCCTTATGGTGGGCTCTCCTGGAGCTGGGCAAGTGCACTAGTCTACATCTTCCCTTTGTTTGAGCTGAATTTGAAATAACTTAGGCCCTGACACTCAGCAAGGGCTTCATTCCTAGGTGTAAGTAATAACCGTTCTGCATAACAGCCCTGGGTGCCTCTTGCCCTACCAGGCATAGCTCAGCCTTTGAAAAATATAAACTTTAATGTAAAGAAGCTGGGAGAATGGAAGGGGAAAGAAGAGCAGAACCAAGGCAATGAACCATTCCCTGCTGTGATTTTCCAGTCCTAGGGTTTGCTGCATTGCTATATTGCTACAGCTGAGTAATACCTAGAGCATCAAGCACTTCCATGGCACAAAGCAACTACTGTAGCCTTTGGGAAGGAGGGAGTACCAGGGGCATACCAAGGAGAAAGGTGACTTGGCACGCAGCATAGCTGTAGCGGAACTAGACTAGGATGATCATTTGAGGCCCAGGCTGCTGTGGGATTTACTGTAGCCAGGGGCTAGCCTCTACCCCCTCCCTACACCACTTCTGTACACATACATCTACATAATTCCATTCAGTTTGTAAATGACACTCCAAGGAAAAACTTGGGAAATAAGTTATCCCCAGGGAACAGTGATACAGACTAAAATTAGTGACTGGAGCTGTTCTTCAGACAGCATCTGTCCATGGCAAAGCTTTCCCCCTACCCACGGCACAGTATCAGTCCAGCAGGAAGGAGAAGAGTTCGGTCACGTGGGGGAAGAGCAGGTTCTCCCCCACTATTGAGGCGGCGGCTGGTTCTGGTCTTGGTCAGCAGCTGGCTGATCATCAGGAAGGGGGTTGTAGTTTGGATCTTCTTCAGGAGTGTCAAATACCAGCTTCCTGGCAGGGAACAGGCCCATCCCCAAAAGAAGTGAACAGTAAGAATTAGGTGTGAGGGATGAAAGCCACCCCATCCCTTCTAGGAACCAAATCTACTTTCAGGGACAGCTACATGTACTGCACCAGGGGGGTTTCCACAGTTCTCAGTTGAGTCAGGGGAAAAAGCCTATGCATTCCTGTCTACCCTCCAATGACTTGATCCAGTTACCCATACGCTGTACTTCAGTTATCAAGCCTGGAGCTGCCCTTGTGCCATAATATCGTATTGCTCAAGTGTCCAACAAGGGCCACTTCCTTCCATGGGAAGCCTGACTCCCAGTAACAAGGGGGCCTGAGTCAAAGCATTCAAGCTGGAGCAGAGCATGTACAGATTGCCAGTTAGGACAGCAGTCTGAGGCATGTGGACAGCTGTCAGCATTTGCACTGCCTGGTTAGTAACCTGCTCGGAGACATGACCAGCCCGAGTGAGGCTGAGGTTGTCTCCCAGCACTGAGGCAGGTTAGCTATTTTGCTTTGGAAAAAAACCCTTGGAGGTGTAGATGATACATTGGATCCAGGAAAAATGACTAGAATTTCACTTACAGGAAGTCTGGAGTGAGCAGCAACTTCTTCCCTCCAGGCTGGTTGGGAAAAACATCTTCAAGGAAATAATAAATATGACCCACTGCAATTCCTGTAGAAGATGAAGGCAGAAGTGTTACCCTCAGACATGCCTCTTCCCTGGGGGTGGAGGGCAGCTAACTAGCTGCTCGCTGAAGTTCTGAGACAGGAAAAGAGCTACCTGTAAGCAGCTGTCCCAGGAGACAGCTGCATTGCCTCTACATACCCAGCTGGGAGAGCCCTGTGTGAGTCATCACTCTGTGTGTGAGGAGGGTGGGGGGGATGTCGCCTTTAGCAAAGGCTTGGCTTTGAATGTACTCGTGCTTTATGCTCCAAAGTAAAGCATGGCTGCAGAGAACTCTTGGGGTATGGACAACAAAACAGAACTGGGAGGGCAGAAGGAGTGGGGCATGAGTGTCAGCTTAGAGCACATTTTCTTCCCATCCCCATTCCTGAAGAGCCAGCTCTGCTGTGGATTCATAGGTGGCACCATCCCAAGCTAGTCGTTGGTGCCTCCTGGGCACAATACACAGGTGCTATACAAAGTGCACTTAGTTCAACAGTGAGACTGAACTTGGGTGTCTGTGGCAACCAATCAATCAGACTAGGCCAGCTGTTCTCCTCTGAGAAAGGGCATGCCACCAAGGGTGAACCCAGGCCATGTGATGTAAACCGCTGGACTCACAGTTGGGAGAGCTGTACATGCCCAGACACCACCCTTCCAAAGGGTGCTCCGTGTCCTCTTACCCAACAAATCAATGATGATAGAATTGCCCAGCAGCAGAGAGAATCCCATCAGAACCCAGGGCAGGAAGGGGGCCTGGAAGTTAAGAAGCCCGAAGAAGTTCATGCGGATGTAAGGGTTCCTGCGGCTCCACACGTACACCAGCATGATGGTGAAAGCCTGGCCCAGGAAGAAGAGGCTTGCAAAGAGGCCGAAGAGCTGAGAGCTACAGAGTCAAGGAGAACAGCACATTCTGCTTATGCTACAGCCCAGAGCAGCAGGACAGAAGATGGGACAATCTCATAAGCCCCTGACAAATGCCTGAAGTTCTGACACATTAGTTAGATACTTGGGCAGCTGCCTAGGATTTCAGTGTACTGGAGTCTGCTACATAAGTGAGAGACAGCCCATGCAACTCGCAACTCCTTCCATGAGGTCTGGGACACACCAATCCCTCTGCCCAGTGCTGCGTCCTCACCTTCCCCAGGTAGCAAAACCTGCACTGGATCAGTGTCATTTACACCTCAGCTACTCTGTGCTGCCTGGGGTGAGCTTGTGGCAAGAAAGGGCTGTGCACCCTCACTTCTGCAGCACCCCTCCCCCCCTCCACTTTTCCAGGACACTGGCCTCCCCTGCAGCAGAGGACAATATTCCTACACTGGACATAGTTTTTCTTTAATGAACTTAGAGAAGTGTTCCATAGCCTGGAAGAGACATGAAACTGCCTGGTGCAATAACTGAGGCTTCATCACTAGATGTTAAGCTTCCAGGGGTGTTAGTAGTGTTTTGCCCAAAACCTCTGTGCAAGATGGAAGATTGGACACGACAGGTCTCTTTAGACCCAGGCCTCATATGAATCTGTGAGCAGGGCCTGTCTGGATGCAGCTAACTTGGACAGCAAAATGAGCGGACAAGTCACCAGCTTTATCCTGCAGAAGTTCACCCCTCTCCTGTGCATGGAGACAGCCCCCATACTCACCCCTCCTTGCACCCAACCCTCCGTAACAGTGGCTGCAACAGGAATTAGTCAGCATGCCGTTCTGCTGAGGAAGAGCATGTTCCACCCCAGGGCAGGCATAGCACAAACAGCGGTTATTCCCTTGGAAAACCACCTGGCTCTTCAGGAGCAATGTCCAAACTGATGGTTATTGCCACTATGGTAAGTGTCCAACCTGCTCAGCTCACAGGAGAACCCTATTTTGTTAATTCTCTCCTGTAAATCTACAGAGCATGAACTTAGTGCTAGTGGAAGCAGCCTGACAGCAGGGAGCCCCAAGCCCTCTATAAAACCCTTAGAGGCAGCAGCAGGGGCTGTTCATTAGCCCCTCACCATTGCTCTGAAGGGAGTGGTTTTAATATCGCCATGATTCAGTACTTCAACAAAAGAGCTCCAAGCTCTTTGTAAGTAGAATGATCCTGCTTTCCCCCAATGGGGAAGCTAGCAGAGAGAGGTCAGCTTGCCTAGGTCCCAGTAAGTCAGTGCCAGATCCCAAAATAGAAGCCATCTCCACCAGCTCCCTGTACCATGCCCTCCCCACATGACCAAGCTGCCTTCCAAGGCTGTGAGGGGTAGGTAGGTAGGTCAGTATCCATGGGAAGCCCTTCCTTGCTCTTTGCTGAGGATGCCAGTTAGTGCGACACGGTAGTTTTCATTTCATGGACACTGGTCGAGTGGGATGTGGACTGAGAGGAAACTCATCTTCAGAGCTCTGAGGATTATAACTACTACCCTGGGCTAGGTCTGAATGGCTGCCCTAGAGGGAGAGAGATTCTGTATCCCATTACAATGCTTAGGAGCCAGCCAGGCCACTTCTTCAAGTTAAGTTTCATGTTTTGAGCACAAGAGGTGGACCTGACATTTATCGGCATCCAAGCCGCTCACACTTGTCCTCTGCAAGAGAGTTCTGTCCAAGATAAACCATACCCTCTTCTCAATTAGCGTCCTTTCCCTGGAAGGGAGATGGGTGGTTTGTTTCTAACATGCCAATGGCCCTAAGGCCTAGCTGCAGGTTTGCAGAGGTGAGACTCTGGGCTTCCCAATCATTTCCCCTGCTGTGCTCAGGGGCTCTGACTCAGTCTTGGCAGGTCAAGAGTGTGGACACCACAGATGCATTGGCATTTGCCTAGCGAAGCACTTACAGACACTGCACCTGGATGTCGGAGTCTGCTCAGCATTTGCATATGAAAATACACACAGCTTTAGGGAAAGTGCATCTTTTGATACAGCTCATTTCCATCTGGACACACGTTTAACACCCTTCTCTGAGTGCACCTTGCAACAGATGGCAGCAGGCTTCTCTGCAGAAGGAGTTTTTTGTCCTTCCCAGACATGTTTTTCTTACTTTAAAATGGTTCCAAAGCTTAAAACAATGTTCACACTAGGTACAAAAATCAGAAGTAGCCCTGGTCATGCCCATGAGCTATACCATCACGGTGCAGAGACTTACGGTACGCAGTCTACTAAAGATTCAGGGCCAAGCTGCCTTCAGCTACATGCAGGCAGCTCCTTCGTCAGTCCCACGCACTCTGGGAGCTTGGAGCTTAAAGTTTTAATTGCTGCTGTTTTCTCTAAATTACCCATATTCCAATCACTTAGACACTCCAGTGTGAGCTGTTATTGGGCAGTAACTCTCTTCCCACCCCCACCCCCCCCGAGATGACAGCATGGATCAGTGTAGAGATATGGGAACAGGAACCTCATAGCTCAGTAAGGTTACTTAAGGTTTTTACTTAATCTGGTAAGAGCTATATGACTCCATTTCCGGTGAAGCCTACTGATCGGACAGCTTCCTGCATCCCTGATTACACAACATCCTGCCCCCCTGTCCAAATTATATGTGACCCCTCCAGATACATCAGAGCTCCTGTGATCAGTGGAAGAAACAAAAGTTAACTTTTTGTAGCTGGAGCATAAATCTTAGACGAATCCTTTCAGGGCCTGGGGAGTACGAACAGACGTGTACAACAAAAGGAATTAGCCTGTGGAGTTGCCAGTCCACCATTTGAGAGCCTGCACAGACAGAGGCTGCTGTACGTGAGAAAAGCAGGAGCAGAGACTGCATCTGTCAGCCTGGTGGCTCCAGAGTTTGTCTGCCTTGGGAAACATGAGCCTCACATCCTGCAGTCCAAGTTTTGCCACCCTAGGCAGCCACCTGTCCTACTTTATGGGAAAGCCAACCAGAATGTAGAGAGGCATACAGAAGACCTTAAGAAGGTCCTTGGTACAAGGAGTCAGTGGACTAGCAGCCTATTCACAAAGTGTCATAGGACAGCAGCCCAGAGGGCCTTGACCTACTCAAACAAACAAAGGATACTGTCATGAGAAATCCCCCGAAGAGAAACATGAAGACAAAGTCTGCAGTCCGTCCCCGAAAGGAGCCTTCCTCTAGCATTCGGCAATATCTGTACCTGAGAGCAGGAAACGAGAGGGTTTGCAGTATAGGAAACTTAACAGCTGGCTGCCCTGCATCACTGGCTGAACCACAGGGGTTTGCCAACAAGCTACCACAAGAGGTTTCATGAGAGGAAGCTGCCAGCCAGCTGCCCAAGTCCCTGAGCCAGAGCAGTGAGATTCATCTTTTGTCTTGTGTTACCAGACTCAGGGAAAGAGTGAGTCACCTCTGCCCAGCGTGGCTGCAGAAACCACACTGCACTGGCCATGGACAGCACAGTTCCAGGAGCTGGTATGGCTCTGTAGTCTCTGGTGGCAGCTAACATTGCCTGCCTCACTGATATCACACTAGGCATTCCTCAAGGGGGGTTGCCCCAGCCTGACAGGTACTTTGGATGGCAGATTGAATGAGTGATGGGCTAGCTGGATCTCTTCAGCAGTGAGCTTGGCCATCTCCCATCCCAAGGCACCAACAGGCTCTGGAGCGACCCTGTCTGGGAATTGACTTTTGAGGAAGGGGAACTCTACAGCCCAGCCCCGCCCCGCTGATGATACAAGCCAACTAGATCGGGAAGGTGGGCGAGTGGAGAGTCACATTTAAAATGAAAAGGGAGCAGAAAGTGCTGCTGAGACCAAAGGATACAAAAATATCATGTTGAAAAAGAAACTGAATCCCAAGGGCCCAAAAAAGAGGAAGTTCGTGATCAGCCTCCAAATCTGTAAGAGAAGAGACAGGAAAAGAACGAGATGGACAGCCATATCTCTTCCCCAGTTTGGAAGGTCCCCCGCACCTATGTGCTTCCATACAGCCATTTACCCTGTTCGGTAATCAGCCCCACAAAACTAGATGCTTGTCTTACCCACCTCCTATGGATTCCATCTACCCTCTCAGAGCCAGACAGTCTTTCCTCCTTGGTGAGTGATATTTCCACACCTTCCCCAAGGGAAGAGACAATTTATGATCCCACCACCCAAGGCAAGACTCCTTCCTAAAGAAGAGCTTCCCCCATCCAGCCTCAAGAGACTAGATGGTCATAAATCTCACCCAACCTTCTTCTTGAAAGGGGACTGGATTGACAGTCTTAGTAGGATCTGAGTAAAACAGGAAAGGGACCTAAAGAACCCACTGTGGCGTGGGGCAGAGAAGGGTGGGGAAAACACTACTGTCTGACTATAGCCACAACTCCAAACTTCTGCTAGTGGGAAAAAGTCCCACAAGGCCCAGCGGCCACTTTCACCACCAGACAGAGCACAAGAGAGTATCTGGAATAAAGAAGCTCCTCCAGGCTAGTAGGGCTCCTTGTGATAAGGAAATAGGGAAATTGGGCTGGCCTGCTGGCTCCACCTCCAGCTCATGAAATCTCTGGATTATCAGGCTAGGAAAAGAATGAAGGACTCAGTGGAAAATTGACCCCTTATAAGAAAAGAATCTCACCTGGAACTTTCTGAAAATCAGATCTGGGTTGAAATACAGCTGGAAAGGGGTGATGAATTCTAATTGCTGCAAGAAACCAAGAGAGCAACCATTTAACCTTGGAGTGAGACATGAGAAGCAGGTCATGCTGCCCTTAGTGTTGTTTATACAGCACCCAGAGTGTGCCAGACTTTGTACCAAGAAACCTACCACTTAATTTTACACATGATGCCATGAGCGAGAGCATTAAGTGATGCAGAGAGGGATGGGGAGGACAAAAGATACAGCGATTAGGTCACACAGCTACTCAGGGTTGTTATGTAATAGTATGATGGTTGACAAACCAAGGTAGTTTTTTATTTTTGGAAGGGTAGAAGGGAAGGAAGTTGGCATACAACATCAGGCAAGGTTGGAAGCGGGAAGCTTGAGGGAAAGAGGAATGGGGCCAGGACAGACACAAAGCAGCAGAGGAACAAGGGAAAGGATCAGCAGACAAATGCAGGTGGAATGGTCAGAATCTGTTTCAATGGAAGGATCTTAGTCCGAGCAATTTGGAGACAAAGGTGGAGTTTGCTGGAGACACAAAGAACCCTGTCACTGGAGGAGTGGAAATGTATGAAGTGTTTTCAGTGGGGAATGAGCCACTTGCTGCATAAATGGAGCAGTCATTCTCTTTTGGTTTTTTGCCGTGCACGCTGCTCGACTTGTATCTATTGCTTCTCTGAGCCCCTTTTTATCATCCTCTGATGCTCTTTATTCAAGCAGATACCATTTGGTTTTCTGATTTTGGGTGAACACTGTGTCTGTGTATAGAATCGGAGAACTGGAAGGCACCTTGTGAGGTCATCTAGTCCAGTTCCCTGCACTCATAACAGGATTAAGTATTATCTAGACCAGCCCTTAGAGGTATTTGTCTAACCTGTAGTGTGTGAGGGGGCAAAAACATCAGCCCTCCCAAACCCATCCTACCTGCCATCCCATGAAGGACATTACATGCAACCTCTGACAATACTGTTCATTCCAACCCCTACCCAGCAAGGGAAGAGGTGGTGATTTGCAAGGATGGTTCAGGGAAGACATGGTGAGCTGCACGCAGGACTATTGAAGCATCTTACTCCTAACAGAGTCTGGCCTCAGAGAACATTAGATATTGCACCCTGTCTCAGGCCGGGTCACAAACTTATTTCACTGCCAGCTGATGGTGGGACAGAAAGAGAGTGTGTGCTAATAGAAAATTAGAGCAAATTATGCAAATGCTGAGAGCCAGAATGCAAGCCCACCAATTCCACTATTCGCAGAATTTAGCCTCGAACTAGGGAATAAGCGTTAGAAGAATACTGAAAATCTTGTTGCTCTTTTTTGAACTATCCCATTCCCTGCCACAGACAGGAAAGGAGGAGCAGGCAAACGCACAGATCAAATGTCCAGCAGGTAGGTGTCCCGGGCACAGCGTCTGCCTCCCTCCCTAGCACTGAGGAGCAGAGCACAGGGTCCAGGACACAGCCCAGGGACCAGCCTCAGCCCAAATCCCCTCCCGGTGAGCAGGGAAGAGAACACCCAGCAACGTCCACTCGAAAGGAGCCTCCGAGGGGTCCGACCCGGGGCCGGCTGGGGAGAGCTGGTAACCCCCGGGCTGGCGGCGGGAGCGTTCACACCCCGATTGCCCACTTGGCCGCCCACAGGCGCCAGTCCCAGGGCACCCGCCCGGCACGGCCGGGCCCGGAGGGGCGGGGGCTGAAACGTGTCAGAGCCCGCGTCCACACGGCAGCGCGCACGTGGGCGGGCGGCTGACTGCGGCTTTATGCCCCCCCGCGGGGGGGGCAGCTGGGCCGGGCCGCAGCGAGCTCCCGCAGATCCCGGCCGGCGGGAGGCCGCTCGCGGCCCCCTGGCCCCGCCCCGGCCCCCCCCCTTACCACGGCGGCGGTGGTGAGGACGCAGGCGGTGGTGTAGGCCCGCGTCACGGCCGGGATCCCCAGGTACTCCTGCGCGAAGCCCTGATAGGCCATGGCGCCGCCGGGGAGCCGGCACCGGCCTGCAGCGGCGGGTCCGGGGCGGCGGCAAACGGCGCTACGGCCCCTTTAACGCAGCCATACGGCCGCAGCGACTGAGGCAGGCTCAGCCCCACCCCCAAGCCTCCGCTCGCCAATCGCTGCGCCAGGGGGAAGTGACAGACAGCGCTCACCAGCCAACCACCGCCTGCCACCCGCCTCCCCAACCCGGAAGAAACTCGCCCTGACTGGAGGGGAATAGAGCGGTCAGCGGCGACAAACCAATCACTGGGAAGCGCAGCTCTGTGGGGGTGGGACAGAGCAGAGAGTGAGGCGGCCCGGAGCCAGTGGGAGCGCACGAGTCCTGCCCCTCTTCTGGCAGGGGTGGTGGTTGTTGTGGCGGGAGGAGAGAGGGCCACGTGGCTGTAACAGGCGGCCAATCAGCGCACCAGAGGGCCCTAGCGTCAGAGCACCTAGACCAATAGGAAGAGCCCACGCGTGCACGGGGTGGGCGTGGCCCGGGCCCCCTGGAGGGGTTGGGACGCCGCTGAGCGGCGGCTTTTCGCCGGCTGGAGGGGCGCGGGGCGGCGCCCCCTGCAGGCCCATAGCGTGGCTCTGTCCCCCGGGCGGGACCGGCGCTTCACAAGCGAGCCGGGGGACGGGGCGAGCCGGCAGCTGGCGACGTTCGCAGCCGATGCAAAACCGCTCGGGACCGTTCAGGCCAGAGCCGAGGGCCAGGAGCCACCCGGGGAGCGCCCGCCTCGGGGAGCCTGGGCAGCGGGGTGGCGGGGTCCAGAGGAGCGGCCGCGTCCGTCCGTGCCCGCACGAAGACCCGGCGGCCTTGTGGAGAGACTGGCCAGTCAGCGGCGACGCCGATAAACGCGCCGGAAAGCGCCTCGCAAAACAGGATCCCACCTCCCCAGACAAAAAATGGCGGGAGGGGGGGGGGTCTACGTCAGCGGCTGCTGATGGAGAAGGAGCAGTGGGGAGTCGCTGCGGGTCGTCAAAAGAGCGAGCGGCCTGTTCGGACCCCTGCCGAAGGGGGTCCCTCACGAAACAAACTGCCCTAGGCTCGCTCTGTAAACCCCTGGTACGCCCAGGCATTGAGTGCGGCCTGCAGATTTGGTCACCCTGTCGAAAAAAGGTATATTGGAGTCGGACAAGGTACCGAGACCCGCAGCAGAAATGGTACCGGGTAGGGAACAGCTTCCCTCTGAGGAGAGATTAAAAAAAGGCTGGAAATTTTCAGGTTGGAAAAGAGGTGATTAGGGGGGAATAGGATAGAGGTCTATAAAATCATGAATGGTGTGAAAAACTGGATAAGGAAATGTTATGTACTCCTTCACATAACACAAGAACTAGGGGTCACCCAGTGAAATTAATAGGCAGCAGATTTCAAACAAACAAAAGAAAGTATTTCTTCACAGTCAACCCGTGGAACTCTTTTTGCCAGGGGATGTTGTGAAGGGCAAAACTATAACAGGCTTCCAATAAAGTACCTGGAGGATAGGTCCGTCAATGGCTATTTGCCAGGGTGGGCAGGGAGCCAGCACCATATTCTGTGTGTCCCTAGCCTATGTTTGCCAGAAGCTGGGAGTGGGCGATGGGATGAATCACTCTACCATTGCCCTGTTCTGTTCATTGCCTCTGAAGCACCTGGTATTGGCCACTGTTGGAAGCTCATGCTCAAATAAATTGGTTAGTCTCTAAGGTGCCACAAGTACTCCTTTTCTTTTTGCAAAGACAGACTAACACGGCTGTTACTCTGAAACCTGTTGGAAGACAGGACACTGGGCTAGGTGGACCATTGGTCTTACACAGTAAGACCATTCTGATGGTCTTTTATAGAACCCAGATGTTTCTGCTCCCCTCTTCCCCCCCGCTATAACCCCCTACATCCCACTTGCCTCCTGGAGCTGAGATAGAATCCAGGCGTCCTGATGGGGTTTCCCTCTCTGCAGAGTTAGTAACAAAGTAAGAATAAACATTAAACATTTTAAATCTAACCAGTGTCCCTTAAGTGACTTGCCCTTAAGATGTCAGAACATGTTAGTATTACAGCTGAGTGGGCCTAATATTTATTTCATTTTCTTTTTTACATAGGAATTAGATACAGTGCTTGTGTCAGCTAATTGCTAAATTATCTGCCAAAAAACCTAGAGCTTCAAGTGCCTAAGTAGCCCCTGGAATCATGGTTAAAATTGCCCTCCACTGCCAAAATCTGAAACGGCCCCCCTGGCTGACTTGTCAAGAACTCAGCCCTGCCCTCCCAGCTCAGCCCCGCTACAACTGGAGTTATGGTCTAGGGCTGTTTTTAATAAATGAATCATTGGATGTTCCCTATGCCCCCCACCCTGCAATGTGATCCTAGCCTGGGATGGGGCAGGAGTGTAACATTCAGCAGTAAATCTGGATTCTGAACCTTCACATGTAAAAAGGCCTTTCCAAAAAAGGGACTAGGAAAGGCCTAATAGTGCATCTCACACCCTTGTTTCCCAAGGCACCAGGGTTCTCACCAGGCAGGGAACAAAATCAGCAATGGCAAGGGGAAAGTCACTAGAATGTGCAAAAAGAAGGGAATGAGTTCTGTGGATCTCTGAAGTAGGAGGCTACAAAGTACAGACAAGTAGACTCCTATAATCCTTGGAGATGGATTTAAAACCAGGCATGCATCTGTTAAACCTTTGGATCTTTTACAGAGGAATGAAGAAAAAGAAGCAAGCTGAAGCACGTACAACTTCTGATTCCCCATCTACAAAGGGTCAACCCCATGCCTATGTACTTAAGTCCCACTTAAACCCTGTTTAAGTGGTGCCTAGGCATTGTTCTGGCCTGCTGCACAGGGGAGAATTTCGCTCTCAATTCCTATTGCAAAGAACAGAAAGACAGATAAGCTAAAAAAAAAAAAAAGGCATATCAAACAACACGTAGGTATGAACAGCTCACTGAATTGTGTAACAAGCTCAAAGCACATTTAGCCTTGAAAATTAAGTAGGATGCAATTCCTGCTTTTCACCTCCTCACTACAAGACAACACTCGAGGGCCCACTTACTACTTACTGAGATCTAAAATGGTCTTTTGTGGCATTTATATCCTTTTCCAAATGTCAGCAGCTATATTTTTAGTGTTATCTCTTGAAGTTTTGCAAGGGAGTTTTCTCTGCCAAGATAACCACCCTAAAAGGTGTATTAGTAACTAGTATTATTCGTATTGTGGTAGCGCATAAAGGCAACAGGTTGAGCCCCATTGGGCTAGGCGCTGCACAAACAGTAAGTTACGGCTCTTGTCCCCAAAGAACTTACGCTCTAGAAGGTAAGAAATAATAAGTGGCTAAGACAAAGCAGGCTGGGGTGAGGTTGGGGAGATGGGGTAACAAAGAGAATAAGAACTGTGCACAGTCAGAATTAGTGATGACAGCTCTCCAGCTGCCTAGCCAGGAGAATGTATATGAATCAAGTAATTCCAGCTGAATTTTATTAATTTTTCCTACTCGTGGATTTCAGTCTTCCAGATTCTCTGCCTGGAACAGTCTCTGAAGATGTTACTTGCTTCCCTAGAATTGCAGCTGTCCCCTGCAGCCACCATGGCAGCAATCTGGTTGTGTGATGCTGTTACCTAGATTTGCACCCTCTTTAGATTCTCTGAATGAGAGCTGGAGAGTAAACGTCTGCACCTAGATGCTAGTTTTTAGCCATGCTGCACTGATTGTCTAGTTCTAAATCGGAAGAGCTGAGTAAATTTATATAGGAACACCTTACCTGCCCACCCCCCAAATGTAATGGCAGTAGTGTAGCACCACTGAAGCTAGCCTTAATGAAAAGGGCTACATGCCTTTGCTTCTTAACAGTTTTATTAGATTAGCAGAGGGGTCCGAAATGACACAAGCACCCTCCCCCGCCCTCTTCCCCCCCCCGCCCCCCCAGTCCAGGCAGGGGCCTCTGAAAACTCCCCAAAGGCATCACACAGCAGCGAGGCAGAGACCCAGAGCAACTAAGTGATTTATGGAGAAGATGAAAGGCGTTTCCTGACTAGGATGCTCAGTTACAGGTGGACTCTGCACAAAACCCGAAAGGCCCTGAGGGGGCAAACATGTCATCATTAATCACACTGGCGCTGGAGCACAAGAGCCAGTGAGTCTGTTGAGGTCATTCCTGCACCATAAGAACGGCAGGGCTGTTCCTAGGATGTAGTGCACTCTCGTGAATGTCATGCCACAAAAAGGGACATTACCAATATTGAACTTCACTAGATTTGTGATCAGGGTAACCAACCAGTTTGATCAGTTTGGCCTAATGGAAACCTGGCAAAAAAACCACCCCAAAGTGAATGATACACAATGACTTTGCTCTTGGTAAAGCATTTGGGGGAGGATCGCAGGGCACACTCTCAGGTAGCTACTCAGTGTGCCACACTGTCTAGCCCCAGTGGTTCTCAACCTATTTACCATTGTGGGCCACAGGCCACATCCAATACTACATGGCCCTGAGGATGTCACATGGGCCGCAGCTCTGTGCTGATTGGGCCGCAAGTGGCCTGCAGGCCGCAGGATGAGAACCGCTCTAGCCTGTTTCTGTCACCTCACAGGCTCACCCAGGCTGTTTGCCATTCACCCCCATAAACCTTTTATTCCTCTGCACCTATACACACACAACATAACACAGGCATCTAGTACCAGGAGCTTTTCATACAGGCTCAGCACATCTCACCAGCTGAGCTTCCCCCTTGGTTCCTGTTCCGTCTACTTATAGCCTCCCAATTACATCCTTAAGGCAGTGGTTACCATCTGGGTGCTCATAATTCCCCAGCAGAAAGTGTTTCGCCACCCCGAGCGGAGCCTGCAGCCTTTTACAGGCTGCAGCAAAGTCAGCGATCAGGGTGTTGCTGCTAGCACTCTGTCATAGGGAGATTTTTTTTTAACTGATTCTTACTAAAGAGAAAAAGACCAGTTCCTCTTGTGCAGCAGAGGGAAGACATCACACCAGACTCAGAGGGAAATAAGTGGTCAATGTAAATGGGAAAAAGTTCACTAGAAGAATAACAACCAGACACTTCTCAACAACCCTACACTCACCCAGTGCATTTCTGAGACATGCTCCTGCAGTGTCCCTGGGTATCACCTAGGTGATGGTAGCAGAGCTTAGCATTCAGTTCTTG